AATCTAGGGTAAGCCGTCTCGAAAACTACACTCGATCTTTGTGCATTAATTTTCAGCTGGGTGGTGTTTAGATGAAAAGATTGATTGGGATTATAGGAAAAATTGGATTAAAATTGTGAATGAGTTCACTTATTTCTAATTTAAGTAATTTTTTGGCATGGGATTTGAATTCCTCGGGTCGTAGGTTTTCAAACGTTCAATCCCCTCTACAGGCCATTGAACAATCCCTTCTTCTGTGAGGGATTCAAAATTGTGAAATGGGATTGCATATGAAAAATCAAAAATATCCTCCATAGTAAATACTTATCTCCGTGTATCGATCTTTGAAACTTCACATGGGCTCTGATTTTTTCATGGAAGTATCAGATTTGTGCATAGTTTTACTGCACAAATCTGGGTAAATTTTTCTGTCTGCAACCTCCATTTATTTGAAAAGAAAATAGAGATGATCTCTATGGTAACTCATCTCGATTTATTGGGGAAGATAGAGAGGAAAGAAGATAAATTTTTTCAGAAGCTTTTCTTTCTCCCCGTCTCACTCTTTCTCTCTGTTTGTGACCGAAGCCGAAGCATCTGTGGTAAAGATGAGCAATTAACCACATTAAAATCCACTTTATACCCCTTCAATTCGATTTTTTTGCACTTTACCCCTTATATTCATAAATTAGCACATAATTCTCAGGTTTTTTTTTCACTTTATACAATTCTAAAAAAATTAACATTTTAATTAAATTAACATATTTTAAATTGACCTAATTTTTGCTATTAATTCAGGCAATAATATTAAAATGCCCTAAAATTCATGAAAAATAAATTGGATTTGGGTCATTGAAAATTTTTTTGATTGAGTTCGAATTAATTTTTCTATTTATTGAAAAAAAAAATTTGTGATTAAAAGTGAATTGTACAAATTAAATTAAATAAATGAACAAAATATTTATTGCAATCTTTTGTAAAAATGCGTAAAGTATTGATTCGTATTTTTTTTTTTGTAAATAAGACAATACTAATAGATTTGACCTTTTTTTTATTCCATAAAAAACATAATATAGGATTGGATAACACTTTTTTACACAAGAGTAAAATAGTCATTTGAGTATGTTATACCATCAATTGTGAATGAGACTCACAAATCAAATGAAACATATTCAAAGATGGGATAGGATTATAATCATATCCTTATAATCCTCTAATTCAGATTACTTTGTATTGATTAAGATTGAGTTCGAATTTAAATCCAACCTAAATCAATTCAATCCTCCTGACATGATCCAAACACCACCCCCAAAGAATTTTCAAACTGCGAAGGAATTTTCTGTCTCTGAGACGTTGTGGGCCGTACAGTAGATATATAGTGTATCAACTGATGTGCTGTGTGATAGTTGCTTTGATTTGGTCAACTGATGTGGGCCTTCGAAATCTAGGGTAAGCCGTCTCGAAGACTATACTCGGTCTTTGTGCATAACTCTTCAGCTAAACTCAAAGGAATTTTCTGTCTCTGAAATGTGGGCCGTACAGAAGATAGATAGTGTATCAACTGATGTGCTGTGTGATAATTGCTTTGATTTGGTCAACTGATGTGCTTTGTGATAGCTGTTTTGATTTGGTCAATATTTTGTTAATGCAAAGAAATAACAGAAAGCTTTAAATTTTGAGAGGAAAATGATTATAGACGATTTATTCACAAGAAATTCCAGAAGATGATATAATAGTGATATTTTTTAAAATATCATACTAGTAATAGTTAATAGTCATAGTTGAGTATCAGGGTGTATCAGATAGGTCGGGTGGTCAACCAAGTTATAAAATCCCTAATCAAGTTCAAACTGAATCCGATTTTTAATTCACATTTAGTAACTTAAATATTATCGAAATTTAGAATTTTGAACTCGAGTTGAAGTTGAATTACACAAGTTGAGCTAAAACTCGAGCTTAATTCAAGATCCGAATTGATTAATTACTAGGCAACCCAAATTAAGAGATTTAATTGGCTCTTATTGTATTCAGAGATTTTATTATTAAGTTACCAAACATGTTTAATTTATTAGTCACTAAAAGTCTTCAAGTATTAAGTTAGGCTATCAAACAAACCTAAATCTTGAAACAAGCACAACCTATCAAGGGAAGAAAAATACAAAAATCAGGTAAAGCTAACATAGATAGTCAAAAAACATCGCATCAATGAGACAAGTTTGAGTTTCAGAATAGTCTAAATTTACATATATAGCCTCAGGCAACTAGAACTAAAACAAACCAAACCCAAACATTTCTACACATGATTAGCTGCGGTGAACATATATATGTGTTTGATGTTGTAAATTTGTCCCCTGCTATTATAAATTTTTTCATTGATATTACAAGTTTGTCTACTATTGCTGTACACTTTTCACCATTGTAGTAAAATTTTCACTATTGTTATAAATTTTTTACTGATGTTGTAATTTTGCCGACCACTGTGGTAATTTTTTCCAAAAATATTGTAAGATTAGAATGATTGTGGTTAAAATTATTAGTATATAGATTAATTTTACTTTTATTTAGTTAATATTATAAGAACTATGGATAATAATATAAATTTAAAGGTAAATTTACGAAATAAGTGGGATGGGTAAGTGTTTATTTACGACAAATGTGGTTAAAAGTGTCAATCGTATTTTTACCACCATATTGGTTAAAGTGTTTCCACTAATGATCTAATTTTACCCAATGATGTTGTAAAAATTTTCATTTATGTTATAAATTTGCCTACTATTGTTGTAAATTTTTTCACTTATGTTATAATTTTTCACTGATCAATCAACTAACATTAGTGATCAATCACAAACCCACATAATGTAGTTTTGGTACTTCAAATGGTGGTTAAAGTTTGCTCATTACTGTATTAAATTTTTTATTAATGTTGTAATTTTATCCACTATTATTGTAAATTTTTCACTAATGTAATTTTATCCACTATTGTGGTAATTTTGTCCAATATTACTGTAAATTTTTCATTAATATTATAAATTTTTTCACTATTGTGGTAATTTTGTTCATTGCTATTATAAAATTTTCATTAATGTTATAATTTTATCCATTTATAATCGTAAATTTTTTATTAATATTATAATTTTATCCTCGATTAACAAAATGACAACTTTTCGATATAATACCAAAATATTCCATTTCGGTTGCCCAGACTATTCCTAAAAAATACTGCCAAAACCAAATGGTGCCTAACTTTCTTGCAAAATCAAAGCATCTGTCCTGTCATACTCACACAGCTCCAATTGGGTGGTACTTTGAAATTCAGAGCCAAGGCAAACACCAATTTTAAAAGATTATGACCCAACTCATTAAGTTTATCTTTAAGTGTCTTTTAAGTTTCATTGCTATGTGTTACATTTTTTCAGAGAAGCAAAAGAGCCAAAAATCAAAGCTAATATTAATTGACATTTGAAACAATTAACTGAAAAATTGCCAACATTGCATGTACGTGACCGAGAAATCCGACACCGACACATAAAAGTACCATCACTATAAATGTCTTGAAGAACTCCAAATTAACAACAAATCTTGTTTTTGCAATTCTACCCAACCTCAATCTCTCTCACTTTAATTGTTTTCAAATCATCTTTAATAATTTCACCAAAAAAAGTCTACTGGAAAGATAAAACTTTCATTATTCTGTAAACTATTCTTCAACAACTGTACATTTAAGGCTAATATTAATTGGAGTTTGAAAGAGGTAACTGAGAAATTTGAAATGCAGAGATTTTTTTTTTTTTTTCTGTTGGAAAAATAAAACTTTCAATGTCTGTACACTAGCCTTCAACAACCTTACATTTTAAGCTAATATTAGTTGGCATTTGAAACAAGTATCTAAAAAAATTGAAATGCAGAGAAAGTTGTCAACTTGCATATATGCGATAGAGAAATTCAAAATGATCTACAAGTACCTATAAATTTTCTTGAAGAATTCCACATAAATAGTTTGACTACAAACCTTGTGTTTGCTTGGACTGCAATTCTACCCAACAATCTCAACATCTCTCTCTTTAATTGTTTTCAAATCAACTTCAATAACTTTCCCAAACAACTTTCTGTTGAAAAAATAAAAACTTTTCATTGTCTGTAAACTAGTCTTCAACAACGTTGCATTTATCAATGTGCAAGATAAACTTAAAGAACATCATCACAAAGAATCTCAACACTGATCGCTACTTTTAACAAATTTGGAGAAAAACCAATGGAGAATTGGGTCATTAAATTGGGTATATTTGAAGGTACCGAATTGTTTTTTTTTTGGTTGCATTTTGCTATATTTTTCAATTTTTATACACAATTATTTAAATATTACTCAATTTTATGTATTTTAGATAAAAAAAATTGTATTAAATGTTATTAAAATGAACCATATTACTACATTTTATATGATTGAGGGTATAAATTTAAAATTTTAATTCTTTAAATTAAGAATTTGAAGCTTTTTTAGAATGCAAAGCTTCAACCTGACTTTGTAACTTCGTTCTCTCCGTGTGTCTACGTTATTCTTAAAAAAGGTAAACACCGTATCTCTCTTTTTCTATTGGTGTTGGAATCTGTACACCGATCCTTAAACTCTAATATCAAGTGTTCGAAAGAAGGAGAATCTAACACCGGTGGCCCAATATGCATATTTGAAACTTATAATCACCCAAAAACTATTACGATAAATTTATTTTTCTAGTACCACACAAAGGCCTATTAATAAATTAAATTTAGATCAGTCAGATTCTGACTGATCTGTATTTGAATTCGATAATCCGATGAATTTTATTTTTATGGTCTATATCTAAATCTATTGACAATCCATAAATTTGATCTGATTCAAATAACTTAATTAATTAAATTTTAATAAATTATACCTAAATTTCAACTAAAATTTTTAAAATTCAGGCAGATTCAGATGAAGATTCAGGTGCTGGTGCCATCGGATGAAGAGAACGCAGATTCAGGCACATTCAATGTGGGTGGGGGACGAAAAACTGTGGGGCAGAGCGGCATCTTTGATGGAAGATCAGGCAGTGGAGATTCAAAGTTGAGCACAAGAGTAGCTTGCCTTATCGATGGCCGGAGATTGTAATTTGGGTGAGCACACCAGAGGCCAACTACCAGCAAACACTCCATTTCTTTCTCATCAAAGCCTCCACAGAGCTTCTGGTCTGCTGCTTCAAGAACTTCTCCTGTTCCATAAAGCTCCCAAACCCACTCAACCATTGAAATCTGACTTTCTTGGGAAATAAAACCAGTGGGTTTTCTCCCACATGCAATCTCCAAACACACGACTCCAAAGCTGTAGACATCAGATTCCTTGCTTGCCTTGCCGGTTATGACATATTCCACTGCCATGTAGCCCATGGTACCTGCCAAATCTGTCGTTGGTGATCCCTTTTCATGGTCTACAAGCCTTGCTAATCCAAAATCTCCAAGTTTCGCATTGAAATCTAAATCCAACATAATGTTGCTTGGTTTTATATCCCTATGAATCACACATTGTTCCCATTCTTCATGTAGATAGAGCAATGCTGAGGCCAAGCCCTTGACAATTTTGTACCTTAAATTCCATGCCAACACAGTGTTCTCTTTGAAGAGATGCATATCTAAGCTGCCTATAGCCATGAACTCATAAACAAGTAGGAGTTCTCTCTTTTCATGGGACCAGCCTTTGAGCTGCACTAAGTTTCTGTGCCTCAATCGACTAATGATCTTTACTTCTGATGCATATTCGTTTATCCCTTGTTTGGAACCCCTTGATATCCTCTTGATAGCAACAAATGAATTCAATTCCTTCAAGAAACCTTTGTAAACTTCACCAAACCCACTCTCTCCAAGCTTCTCGCTTTCCGAGAAGTTTTTTGTTGCCCGAGCCAATTCCCTGTACGAAAACTTCTTAGGTCCACTACCCTTTTCGAGTTCATCATCCATGGGACCTTCAGCACCTTTTCTTGCTTTGCTAGTTTTCTTCCACAGTCCAAAAAAGCCAATCAAAGCTAAACCACCAACCAAAACACATGATCCGACAATCAATCCCACCTTTATTACTCTCTCTTTTTTAAGTCCTCTTCGAATGGTGGTACTAAACTGCCATGACTTTACATTATTTTTTTCAAAGGCTTCTCCAGTTGCGGCAGAGAAACCAAAAGTGACCCATGGTGGCAAGTAATCCTTTAGATCAACTACGTAATAGAGGTCATCTCGTCGTCGGACAGTGGCATCATAATTAAAACTGGTGAAGGCAACACTCAGAATTTTTTTGGCAGAATCATACTTAATCCAAGCTTCATGTGTTCTTCCATACACGAAATTAGTATCCAAGTTACATTTGCAACAGAAGCCATTGAGTTGTTGAGTAGGATACCAACGTGATTGAAGGGCAAGTTTGCTTCCCAATCATTATTCCGATAAGTATCAAACTCGACTGCAACAAACGGATATTTCTCCGCATCAGGAGGCATACTGGAACCATTGGGAGCAAGGAAGAACGCAAGCCCTTCACCTAAATCACTGCTTTCTGCTTTTTGGATGACAAAAGAGAATTGGGTAGTGAAGTCCGATAGTTTTCCGGACTCCTCATCCCAAAGGTGAAGAGGTTCAACACAGGTGGCTCGGCCGGCATTCCAACCGGACCATCGGCTGATCACATCGGGGTCTCGGGTGAGTTGGATGCCTTGGCCTGAGATAGAAGCATTCCCTGTGATGGTTATGGTTCGATTAGTATCACCTGGTGTGAAACTAGGGTAGTTAAAAGATAATGGAGTCGCGGGAGCAAAAATGGTGAAGAACAATAAAGCTAGAATAAAAAGAGAATAGAGAGGCTTCGGTGACTGGGGGAGTGAGCTCCAGAAGTTGGACATAGCCATGGTGATGATGGCAAGGAGGAAATTGTTTTTTATGGAGTTCTCCTTTTGGAATATGAAGAACTAATTTATATTGCAAGTGTCTTGCAAGTCTTTTTGGGAAAAGTCTTGCAAGTCTTTTTTTCGAAAAAGTCTTGCAATTATCTAGTTGGAGATTATCCTCAATACGGCTTATCAGTGGATCCACGACAATGACTAATTGAATTGACACATCATCAGAGTGGGTGGCATCAACCTTCTATCGGATCCAAATCCCATTCAATATTTTTTTACAATTTCTCTTGATAATAATGATAAATACTCAAAGCAACAGCAATTATTAACTCTGTGATGTCGTCAATTATAAAATACCATATAGGACTAGTGCTTTGCACTTAACTCTATGCGATAGTTTTTTTTTTTTTGAAATTTCAGTTATCCCAACCCTTCGGGCCAGACTAATGTTGAACCTACACGCAAAGTTGGCTCTTCACGTATAGGGGATAAATCTAGGACTAATGGCCCCAAGAAGTGTTTGCACCTAGTAAGTTTCGAACCCTTAACCGATACCAAGTTAAGATCCTTACCAAGTGACTCTTGAACCACTGGACTAATCCCTTGGGGTTTAACTCTATGTTATAGTTAATTATTGGATATGGTGGTGATATGAAATAATTGAAATATTGAGGTTCATAAGATAATGAAGTATTGTTACGATTATATAGTTGGTCGGTATTTACGTGTTAGATGTCATAATATCACAATTGTATTAAATATTTACTTCAATAGTAGATTGCTCACATAAAACCAAGTACAACCCACTATATATAATTGAGTCTCCACTAATGTATGGTGTGTGACTTCCTATTTTGGAAACCGATCTCTATATCCTGTACTTTGTATGATGGTTTCCAGGCTTCTCGACTTCTTCTCTCTTTTTTAATTAACTCACATACTTTGACATGCACACTATAGATCTTGATGGCTAGGCACAAAGGCTCAATCCATGTTATAAGTCTAGTCCGAGCTAAAGGTCTAATTTCAAGAGATCTAGCTAGTCAAGCTCAAAGGAGTCTACACCTAGATAACCTTATCAAGATCAAAGAATTACATTAGTAGGGAAACATGCACGGTCATCCAAGAGCCTCATCTACCACCTTGGAATAAGGGTCATCCAAGAACCTCCTCTACGCCACCAAGTGAGCATCCAGGAGCCTTACCCTCACCACCAAGGGAGCATTTAGGAGCCTCACTCTCACCTCCAAAAGAGCATCCAGGAGTCTCACCCTCACAGCTTGGAGAGAGTCAACCTCCCTCATCCTTGACCAAGTCCTTTGGAAAGCACATCAACCGTCACACCTCGCCCGTTGAGAAGATGATAGATCGCCTCCGCCGGATCAGTTACCTAATTACTATCAAATGGTCCTAAGCCATAATGACCGTCAGAATAGTCATACAATTACTACGTCAAACCACTATAAATTGTAAGCTTCTCTGACACTTGGGGGCATCAGACTCATTTGAGCATAATTCTCTTCTCCCTTCTCAAAGCTTGTAATCATGTGCTCTCCCTCCATACCAGAGATAATAAAATTTCGGAGAACCTAGCCATTCAAAGTGGACGTAGATCGTATTGACCGAACCATTATAAATCTTGTCTTCTCTCTCCTTCTACTTACTGCATTTTATACTACAACTTGACTAGTGGTGTATAAACTAATTTGTACATCATCAATTTGGCGCCGTCTTTGGGAACGACAGTTCTCACCTAGCCATTTTCCTTTGCTGAGTCAAAGTCGATCACCAACAGATCCATGAATCAGCCTGAAGATAACCTACCACCAAGAGAGGAGGAGGTTGTTCCTCAACCAACCAATCCTGCCCCAAATGAGCAGCAGATGCTCGAGACCATGCAGCAACTTGCGGCCCAGAACCAATAGATCCTACAACTAATGCACCTTGGGCGTCAAGGAGTTCTCCACATGGGCGCTCCTCATTTAGGAGGAAGATTACAGCCTAGACCTCAAGTCAGAGGAGCTCCAAGCCCTACGCGTCAAGGAGCTCCCCACATGGGTGTTCCTTATCTGAGCGCCCCCTTTGGAGTCCCTTTAGGCGCCCCGCACAGGGGAGCTCCCCACAAGGGACCTCCACTTCCTCTTCCAGCTCCTCTTTTCATGATGAAGACCCTCTTTTCCAAGAGGACGAGGGTGAAAACCAAAGCTTGGAGCATGAGAGCCATATCCATGGTAATTCCAAGGGACCTCCTCCTAATCATTTGGACAAAAAAATTATGGAAGTGCAGAATCAATTGGGTGATGTCTTCAACGCCATGAAGGCACGAGGACCCGAGATAGTGGATTACCTTGTAAGTCGAACCGACACACCTTTCAAACCTGACGTGGCGAACTACCCACTCCCTCAAAAATTTAAGATGTCATCCGTCGAAACCTTTGATGGTACGAAGGATCCATTAGACCACCTTGAAACTTTTAAGACTTTGATGCAACTGCACAACGTTCCTGACGAAATCATGTGCAGAGCGTTCCCAACCACCGTGAAGGGATCCGCTCGACAGTGGTTCACCAAGATCACCCCCGCTTCCATCGCCTTATTTGTTGAGCTGAGCAGGTCTTTCGTGTTGCACTTTATTGGAGGACGCCGTCACCAGAAACTTGCCACCCACCTGCTCAGCATAAAGCAGGACCGAGATGAGAGCCTGCAAAGCTACCTCACTCGTTTTAACGAGGAGGTTTTTCAGGTTGAAGAGCCCGATGAAAAAGTCAACATGACCACCTTCTTGGGAGGCCTTCGGTCATCGAGCTTCCTTTTCTTCGTGATGAAACGCCCACCAAAGAGCATGCCAGAACTATTAGCAAAAGTTCAAAAATTTATGAATGCTGAGGAAATCAATAGGTCCAGGCGAGGTGAATCATTTCACGGATTGCCAAAAGTTTGGCCTACCTCTACACTGTTCTTAAACAGGTAGTCTATCTCCAGCTTAACGGCTCTCTTGAGGGTCGTCAAAAAACTTGGCCTACCTCTACACTGTTCTTAAACAGGTAGTCTATCTCCAGCTTAACGGCTCTCTCGAGGGTCGCCAAAAAGTTTGCCTACCTCTGCACTGTTCTCAAACAGACAGCCTATCTTTAGCTTAGCGGCTCTCTCGCGGTTCGCCAAAAAAGCTTGACATCTGCATTGTTCTCAAACAAGCAGTCTATCTCCTAGCTCTCTCGCGCGTCGCCAAAAAATCTTGGCATCTACTCTGTTCTTAAGCAAGTAGCCTATACCTCAAGCTTAAAGACTCTCTCATGGGTCGCCAAAAACTCGGTCTCAAAAGGTTTACCCATCTCAGCTCGGCGACATAGAACCATTGGGGGATGT